TCACGGCGCTTCGCGCTTGGTGATGTGAGAGCCTGGTCCGGTGAGAACCCGGCGTGCTCCGTCCCGGCTTTGTAGGGATGCGAGGTCAATGGTCTAACGACTACGGCATGCACGACTATGAGTACACGCCCCCCCCTTTCCAGATATGGCCCTCAATCCAGTTTGGGGCTGTGCGTCCTGGACTGCCCCCAGGGAAACCCCTTTGGAAGGAGGGAGGAGGGGGCACCGTACTGCAGTAGTTGCAAAAGACCAGCCCTTCTCGCAGATTCGGCGACAAGAAGCGAAAGGCCCGCAATGAAGTACGGCGGGGGCCCAATTAAGGGCGCGGGGGGGATCGCATGACTTCCTCTGAAAAATTCAGGAGAAGCCTGCATATCTCAGTTTTACAAATTCTAACTCCAGTACGAAGCTACGATCACAAAACAACCGTCCGCTCACCCACCCTCGTGTACAATGTCAGTGTCTGAGATTGTAGCCCTTGCGATACATTGCAGACAAGCGGTGCGCGGTTTTTCAAACGATCCGTCTATAATCGAGATCGGTGTGCAACGAGCAGGATATTTGAAGCTGCTGCGCGGTCCGATTTTGAAACGCTTCAAGCACACAGCAACATCGATTCAGCGCCCATGTGAGTGGTGTGGGGCCCGAAAACTTCAGCACAGCTCTTCCCCCACGTGTCCTACTCGTCGCCATAGTCGATTTGAATGCCTGGGGTCATGTGTGTGTAGGTTTCGCCAGAAGCAATGGTGCTTGAAGCGTTTCAAAATCGGACCGCACAGCAGCTTCAAATATCCTGCTCGTTGCACACCGATCACGATGATGGAAGGATCGCTTAGGAAATCGCGGACCGCCAGTCTGCAGTGCATCACAAGGGCTACAATCTCCGACAGTAACATTGTACACAAGCGACGGCGGCGGACGGTTAATTTTGCGATCGTAGTTTCGCACTGGATTTAGAATCTGGAAACTGAGATGTGCAGGCGTTTCCTGGGTTTTCAGAGAAGGTCGTGCGATCCCCTCCCGCGCTCTCAAACACCAGCTTGAGGACATAGCTCCGGCGACCAAACCAAGAAACACGGCGAGTTCGGCGATCGCCGTAGGACGCTCAAACGAGCGTGATATCTGCTTGCGGCGCAGGCAGAAATTGATACTAGTACTTCGTACCACTCTATTGTATTTGCCTGCAGCTACATGTGCATACTTCCATTGCTGTTCTCTTTGGAGGTAGATCCGCCGATCGACATTCGGCGGATTTTGCATGTTGGCATCGTTGTGGATTGGATATTTTGGCGGCGGCGATGGACACCGAACCCTACACAGCCCGAACCCCACTAGAGAAGGGAGCACTGGCGTATATTAGTAACTTGCTCCAATTAAAGTAAAAGTGGGTCGTTTCCTGCAGGCGCATGATTCAACCTCTGCCGCATCAAATGTTCGGCAGCTCCAGACCTAGAGGCTTGCACCGGATTTATGTAGTTTACGCCTCACAACCGAACCAGTCACGCGTGCTGCCGTGTTCCACGGTCTTCGCATGCCACCACACGATACTAGTCAAACTGCACCGCTAAAGCAGAGGGTAACCATCATCACCTTGACGCTAACGGACGATGCCGACAGCAGGGCTTCGCTGTCTACTGCAGGCGGTAGGCCAACCACGATGTACACATCCTCCTCGTCGTATTCCTCCTCCGCGTCCATGCCTGGCGGGAACTCCTCTTCTTCCTCCTCTTCTTTCGCCCCACCGTCTCCGCTCTCCTGCTGCTGCTTTCGTTTTCCAACGCTCTGCTGCTGCTGCTGCTGCCCCCGAGTTCCTCCGGCTTCGTCCTCCGCGGTCTCTTCTTGTGCACGCGACATTTTCAAAAAACGTGCGACCCGGGCATTGACTGTTGTTGCACCAAGAAGGCTTGCTAAAATCTAAACAGACACGCTGCCGGGGCTGCTTGTTCTAGCTGTTGAATGGGAGAGAGGGACGCTGCACCTTGGCTGTTGTGGGTGGTGTCCAGGCGTCCAGGCCCAGGATGGGTGGGTGCGGCGCAACCCATCATCCATGCCGCCGCGAAAGAGGCGGTTCCTCAGGGCTCCGCAACTGGGAATGTGTATATATACATGAAATCCTAGTCGTAAGTCCCCAAGCTCGCGGTGCTTGGTCGGGCTGCGCTGGGTGAACGCAAAAAGAGCTGTAACTAGATGCATGTTGCGTGCCTCACACCGGATGCACAGTAGCAGCAGCCATACAGCACTGGTGGCCTTTCTGTCGGTGCAGTTTTCAACTTCCGTTTCCTGGTCCTTCGTGCCCGAACACCGACCGTGTAGCATTTACAGCCGCAGCCGCAGCAGCAGCAGCAGCAGCAGCAGCAGGAGCAGCAGCAGCAGTAGCAGCAGCAGCAGCAGCAGCAGCAGCATTAGCAGCAGCAAACGCCTGGGGTTGCGGCAGCTTATCCCGGTTGCATCGAAGGGGGTTCGTTCTGTGTCACTCCTGCTAGCGAGTACTCGAGAAGAAGTCCATCGGCGACGACAACGCCGAGAGAGCACCAGACGAGGGCTGTTTGCTGCGGCAGCGCCAAGATCTCCATCTCCATCGCCGTTCATGATGACCAGCCCCGTCGCAGCAGGGGAGGTCGATGGCACGAAGAAGGAGCAGGAGCTGGTGTTGGACAGGGATTTTTTCTCGAAGGAGACGACCGTTGTGGCCGTAAAGCTCCCTGCGAAGCGCACGAGGTGAGCCAAAGCAAAGCTACAGCTGTCTCTACCCTGCAGCAGTTTTTGGTACAGCCGCGTCGTACCGCAGGTGACACAAGATCTCACACCCCCAAGACCGATTTTCAAATGTCGATTTCTCCACAGCAACAAGAAGGGCAGCACCGAAAGCTGCGGCGTCGACGCCGTCTTGTCGAGAGCTTTCCGAAAAAAGGTACCATTTCATGTATTCGTCCTCTTCGTCGTGGAGTGTAGTCGAGCTTTGAAAATCGGTCCAGGGGGGGTGCTATCTGATGTCACCGGGGTTCCTGGTTCTGAAGCAAGTGCGAGAAACAGCAGGGATCTATTTCCAGATTCGTCGCCACCGACGTCGAGATGAGTGCATGATACACCATCTGAGCTGTGCTTCTGAGCGTTAATATCTTGTTGGTGTAGGCATTAGAACTTCAGCTATGTCTTGATTGCGGGCTCGTGATGTATACCATATATGACACAAGATAACACACCCCCTGGACAAATTTTGAAAGCTCGATTACTCCACGACGAAGAGGATGCATAAACGAAACAATACATTTTCGAAAAGCTTTCGACGAGGCGTTTTCAACGCCGCCGTTATCGGCGCTGTGACTGTTCCTGCAGTTGAGAAATCGAGCTTCGAAAATTGGTCAAGGAGGGGTGTTGTCTTGTGTCACCTACGGTATGTGGGCCGAACTATCGGAGCCTGTGTCCTACGAGGACGTTGTCATCGCTCTCTAGCCTCGCTTGCTTGACCCTTGCTGTATTCCTCCTTTGTTCTCGTGTTATTTCTTCTTCTCCTTGCTCGCATCTCGTTTTGGGTCAATACTGGGCGTGTGTGTGCGTGGGGCGGGGGCATTGCGGCTCATGCGCGGACGCTCGTCCAAATCACGCCGCAACATACTCTGCTGTTTCTGCTGCTGCGTGCTGCTGTTTCGGAATGTGGTGGCTGGGGCTTGACGATGCGGCCAACCTTGAAATGGCGCGAAATCGGAACGGCATCCTCCACAAATGTGACGCAATGTAACGGGACCGTTTATCGGCGGGAATCTCCGAACTTCGGCGCGAATCTCCGAATCTCGGCGACATCCGAAAATCACGACCTTCTTGGAACCGCGGGTGCGGCGGAATATACATACGTTGATGCGGTAACATGTGTTTTGGGAACCGGCGGGCGGCGACGGGGACCTTCGCAACAAAATCACGTGACCACCAGCGAGTTGCGGACGCGGCTGAAGAGCGAGCTGAGGAACGTTCCGCACCGAAGAAACGTGGAGCGGTGCCCGGGGGATGATTCCTGCCGGCTGCTGCTGCTTGACCCCACGGTGAAGGACCCCGAAACTCTCGAAGGTGAACAAAAAATACTAGGTGTGACCGCGCGAATCAGAGCTCTTCAGCTTGCTTCGGCCGCCAGACGGTCTCGGAGGTAATCCCTTCTAGACGACGCTTACATCATGTTTGATTGTATCATCAGCAGGGGGAGAATGTTTCCTTTAGTCCATGCAGTTTCCCCGAGGGCACACTGATGTTGCTGTATTGTAGGACATCGGATACTGTGGTCTTTTGGTGCTCGGTAAAAGCGTAGAGAGAGAGCGGCGGAATTGTTGGAAGTGGCGCATCTCTTCGCGGCGGCAGGATGTCATCGCTTGCCGTCGAAAAAGAGGTGCATGTGCAGAGTGTCCGAATGACCAAGACCCAAGCTTTTTACAGCTTCGTTTCTGGTGCGTTTCTCGGAACTGTGGTGTGCAACACGGGGCCACGCCTCCCCACATGCTTGTCTGGTTGCTCTCGGATCTGGTGAATAAAATCCCACACCCTTTGTGAAATAAGGTCTCAGCCCGGAAGCCGCGGAGTTCCTCAGGGGGGACGACGATCTGGACACCACGACGTTCCGCGTCAAGACCGAGTACTCCATGCTCGGAGTAGAGGAAGTGAGACGGGCACCAAGAAGTATGTATCTGGCATTGGCGAGATGTGTGTGGTACGCACTGAAGAGGGACGTCGTTGTTCGGGCGTGCCGTCACTCATCCGTTTCTCTGTCTCGGTCTGTCTGACTGTGTATTGTATCTCTCTGCACATCTCTGTGTCCTTTCACACGTATTATGATACTTGCGGGATGTTCCCACGCGACTGCACAGCTACCCGAGATTCGGTTAGGTCTCTGTCGTCTTGCTTTGGCCGCAGCTGATTCTTGTCTGGCGGGACCCCCCGGCGTCGCGCGCGAGGCTAAGGTTTTAAGTCGGTTCTAAAATATTGGTTTTGGTTTGGTTCTTAATCGGTTCTCTGAACTTTGGGCCGCAACCTTTGCAGGTGTTGACGCAGCTGCTGGAGCCGCGGTTGCCCGGGCGGGACCTCCCGACGTCTTTCGAGGTGGCCGGACACCTGGCGCACCTCAACCTCAGGGACTACTTGCTGCCGTACAAGAAGGTCATCGGCCAGGTGAGTTTTTTCCTTGCGTTGTTGTTTTTGGCCTGTAATCTTGTTTGTGCCACCCTCTTCGCGCACGTGAGAGAAGTCGTTGGCTATCCGACCGCACACGTTCTTGTGTGTCATATGTAGTCTGCGTTTGTTTGGGGGTTTTGTGCTGCTTTACCGCTCGTTGCGGGGGGTGTTGCCGAGAGTATTGAATACACGCCAGGGTTTCTATGGGACCTCTTCGGTGACATATCTAAGTTGTTTTTACTCGCTTCTCTCGCGTACCATATGCTCTGTTGCTGCCCCCCTGTTTTTTTTTTGGGGGGGGTTAAGTGCCCACAGAGGTTGCAGCGGCGATATATTCCACATCAAGGATGGATCACTGCTACATTGTCCGCTGCAAGCGTGACTCTTGTGGTTCCTCTTTCCCTCTTTCTCTGTCTCCTTGTCTCTCCCCCCCCCCCCCCCCCCCCCCCCCCCCCCCCCCCCCCCCCCCNTCCGCTGCAAGCGTGACTCTTGTGGTTCCTCTTTCCCTCTTTCTCTGTCTCCTTGTCTCTCCCCCTCCCCTCCCCTCCCATCCCCCCCCATCCCCACCCCCATTTTTTTTCTGTCATGCTTTCAGGTCATCATCGACAAGAACCCACGGATTACCACGGTGGTCAACAAGGTGAGAGAGAGACAGACTCTTTTGGTTGTTTCGTGGTTGTTTCGTCATCATCATGGGTTCGGGTAATAAGGACGTCGCCTCGCACGCCCGTTTGTTCATCACCGTAACCGTTCTCGCCGACCAACCCTGTTGACGCCGTCGTCAATTTTGTTGTCTTTGTATCGACTCTGTGGTCGTTGCCTATTCCTTTGTTTAAACTCACGGGATTTGCTCTACGGCCATTGTAGGGTCTTCTCCGATCCCTGGTGATTAGCGGTATAACCAACCACAGCGGGATGCTAGGCTCGATTCGAGCATCCTGCTTGCTTCATGAGCCTGCGACTTTCCACATCCAGAACCATCGTTTGTTTTGCGGGTCCAGTGTTGGCCGATTGCTCATCTATTGAATCACCCGTTTGGACAATCGACAAGGTTTGTGTTTTTCGGCTTCACAGCATTAACCGCGCGTGCTTACTCACCTGATCAGCGGCGTGGGTCTAGCTAGTCCAATGAGAGCACCAAGCAGGCACCAAATGGAGTTTCTGTGCACTTTGTAAACCCTAACCTGTTTTCCGATTTATCGCTTCCTTTCCTTCGTCCTCACCCTGTGCGCATGTTTTGGTCGCCCTGGGGGGATGGAAAAGGTCGACACCATTTCGACAAAATTCAGGACCTTTCCCATGGAGATCGTCGCTGGGGAACCAAACACAGAGGTACCATGGAGCGGAGAAACAAACGCCTTCGATTTCGGTTTCGGCAGAGCAACGTGATTTCGGGGAGGGAGTGGGGACGCAGACAAAAGACGAACCCCAAGGGATAGGTAGAGAGATTGCCCTGCGAGAGCGCCAACAGCAATAGCGCAGGTGAAACAGCAACAAGAATGATGAGCTTTGTTTTGTCAGGGCTCAAGAAAACACGAGGCATCCGGAGGCGTGCCGCTGACCACGAGGCGGGCCTCTCCGGATTTACGCCCAGCGTTGCAAGCAATCGTTTTCTTCACGTATGTACAGTGCCACAAACTCTCTACGGGATGCTCATGGCGTTGGCACTGCGGCGCAGAGAAACCAACGATTTTCCCCCGGCCTTGTGTAGAGTCCTGGAAGCTTTGCAGACGACGAGAATCTCGATGTGGTCGCACGCAGGCAAGCTTTCTTTGTTGGTGTTGTTGCCACCGACTGGCCGGCCGTCAAGTGTTGCCGCATGCGATTTCGCTGTGCTGTTGTGAATCTTTAGTTGCGTCGCCAAGTCTTGGGAACAAGGTAATGTACGTAGATATCGTTGCGCCTTCCTCCCTGGTTTTCACACACGAAGAAAACGCCGCCCTCCGTAAACCGGTTTGCTTCTTCAGGTGGTGGTTAAGGAGAGCGGGTGCAGCTTTAGGTTCGACTTCGCCAAGGTTTACTGGAACAGCCGCTTGCAGGTGCCATTGTTGTTGTTGTTGTTGGTTTTGGTTTTGGTGCTACTGTTGTTCTTGTTTGCAGTGGTATACTTTGCCTCGTCTTTCTCGCAGAAAAGAATAGAAAATTCTGCTGGAGCCTCATCCCATGGACGATCCCGTAGTCTGTCCCTCCGGCCTAGCGCCCTAGGACAAACACTACGTATTGGGCAGCAGGCAGTCCAAAGCACACACGGTGGGCCCCGAGGCTGCCCCATCCCACAACTGCGCATCCACTTGTTATTTCTCGAAGGAATTGGCGATTGTTTGGCCGGTCGCTGGTAATTTTACAAGCACCCCCACCCCACATCCCTCCCCAACCCCGTGCTGCTACAGACAGAGCACGCGAGGCTGATCAAAGTTATTGGACAGCAGCAGGAGCAGCAGCAGGAGCAACAGCATCAGCAACGACGTGAGCAACCCGAGCAACAACAACCACAGCAGCAGCAGCAGCAGCAGCAGCAGCAGCAGCGGCAGCAGCAGCAGCAGCAGCAGCAGCAGCAGCAGCAGCACAAGAAGCAGAAGCAGAAGCGGAAGCAGAAGCAACAACGGTCCGCACACCGGAACCCTTCGACCGTGGTGGTGTGCGACATGATGGCCGGCGTGGGCCCCTTCGCCATACCCTTGGCCAAGAACGGCCACCGAGTCTTCGCGAACGACCTCAATCCGGACAGCTACAGCGCTCTCAATGACAACCGCGCCAGGAACAAGATCAAGCCCGGCCTGCTGACGACCGGAAACGACTGCGGGCGCGCGTTCGCGAGGAAGCTGATTCGAGAGAGGCAGGTATGATGTTATTGTTATTTTTGGACGTGTTGTACAAGTGGGGTACACGTGTGGTGTCTATTTTTGTCGCACGGAGGTTGGGTAAACTTGTGAAGTGTGTCTTGTTTCTTGTGAAGTTTTTGTCTTTTGTGCGGCAAAAAGAACGGATCACATGTTGTGTTCTCGCAACTCTTCGCTGTCCTCCGGATTTGTTCATGGGCTGTTTGTCACCGCACCTTTGTTGTACCTCGTCGTCTAGTCACCCGTTGCCGCACAGCTGTACGAGTCTTGTTTACGGCGAAAGCATCGAATCACACTTTCGTGGCTTTTTTATTTGTCGATGTCCACTGGAACATTGCAGAGCCTTGTTGCCACGGTGGGCTCGTTATCTAGTGTCGCGTTACTGCACAATGCTGGCACGCAAAGATGTTCTCTAACGAACCAAAAAATGGTGGGTTTGGGTTCACCACGCCGTCGTCGAAACTCCTGACTTTCTCCCTTGCGTAGTTTTCATCAAACGCGCTCAGCTGAAGGCGCGTGTTTGTCTAGTTTACCCCCAAGCCAGAAAAACAATCAGTGGACCTTCCCTACTACAACTTTAATGAGCAAGCCACCCCTTGACATCCTTTGTCTCCCCAAACGACACCAACAGAAATACTTATTTAGGCTAGGAGACTAGACAAGCCAGGACCGCCCCCCAAATATTTGTACCATTTTGCCCCGCTCGTTATCCACACAGTATCCCTCCCCAATGCCGCCCGTTTTTTTTGCTTTACTCAGGTGTTTCACCACGCCATCTTGAACCTCCCAGATTCCGCGCTAACGTTTCTGGACACGTTTCGAGGGGTGCGCTGGAGAGAACACGGCTTCGACTCTCCTCCCATGGTGCACGTCTACTGCTTCAGCAAGGCCGCCAACCCAAAGCAGGCGAGGCGGTTGTGTTTGTTTGTCGCGGAACCTTGCGTTTCTGAACGAAAGGCCGGACGAATGACCGGGCGGACGGCTTTTTTTGCGGCAGCAAGGTTAATTTTGTTGTTGTTGGTCTAGTTGTGAATCAGCTGCTGTAGCGACGTCGATGTTTTTGCGTGGTGGCGCTTGCCGTGGTGCCCGCACACTTGCGGCGTGTATTTGAACATCGAGCGGCTTTCGTTTCTCTTTTGGTCACTTTTGAAGGTCTGGTCGGCCCGTTCGCTGTCATTGCCCCGATCTTTATCTGGCGTTTTGCTCAACCTCATCCAAGCCTCACGGCCTCCCTTACATATATTTCCGTCCGTGGGTTGCGTCATTTTCCGTCCCTGTTATCCGTTCCTCTCTGCTTTTTTTTTGCCTCTCTCCCTCTTGTCTCCGTCTCTCGGCTTGTCGGTTTGTCTGTCTGTCTCTCTGTACCTTTCTCTCTCTAACTCCCTCTCTCATCTCAGGACGCCCTCGATCGAGCGAACGAAGTCATGGGATCCAACCTCACCCAGCAGGAGGTTAAGATCCACGTTGTGCGGGACGTCGCTCCCAACAAACCAATGCTTTGCCTCTCTTTCCTAGCCCCCGACGCCGGCGCCGACGGCAAAACGGAGGGCACGGGCACCGAGGAGGAGGCGGTGAAGGGCGGGGGGGATGCTGAGGCGTCTTCCCGGGGGGGGGACGTTGGCGATGCAACCCCTGCTGCCGCGGAGAAGGCGGCAGTGGGTACGACGTCGAGCGACGCGGGTGATAGTGGTGGTGGTTTTAGTGTCGGAACTGCCACGACTACATGTAGCAGCAGTAGTGCTGCTACCCCGGCTGAGGCTGTTTCCTCCGTTTCGGACGCTGCTGCTGCTGCTGCTGGTGATGATGTTTCTGCAAGCGAAGGGGGGGATGGAGCTGAGGGTAGAGGGGTTGGTTTTTCCAAGGTCAAGCGGCAACGGGTCGAGCAGAGTTTGTAGAATAGGGATTGGTCTATTTATTCCCTGGCGGTAGCCCCCGCTGTTTTGGATGCGAACTCCGTTAACCTCACTCCGGATTGGCGTCTCTGTTGTTTCGATTTTCGTGTTTGAAACTTCTGTACATAGTTGCAACTTGTGTCCACAGCCGGCGCTACCGCGAAGTAAGGTTTGATGATTGGCTGACGCAAACGCTCGTGTGGTATGCGTTGTTGCATTGGCCGGCTCTAGCTTCAAAGGCAGCGGAGCGACTCGAATGGGGCACGCAGACGGGAAAATCCTGTGTACGCCCCCCCCCGCCCCCACTGGGCCACTCATTTGTTAACCCAGGGAGACACGAGTACAAGGGCTTTGTGAGGGGGGGGGG